CAGCACAGCGACGGGACAAGGGCAGGATGGCGGGCTGCTCAGCGCGCGGGGAGGTCGTGGCCCTTCCACATGTAGCGGACGCGGTTGCGCATGGTCATGGTGGGGTCCTTGTTGGTGGGATCCTCGATCCACGGCACATTGTTGGCCTCGCACGTGGCGATGAGACGGTCCTTGGGGAAGGCGAGCAGGGGCCGGTAGACGACGACGCCGGCGTCCTCGGTCTGGATGGGCGGCAGCGGCGGCAGCGGCGGCGCGTGTCGCCTCGACAAGGGCCTGCTGCCGGCTCCGTCGGCATACTGCTGGTGGATGTAGGCAATGTCGAGCTCCGTCTGCAGGCCGCGGCGCAGCTCAGCGGCGTAGGCGGCCTTGTCGAGGTCGCGGCGCATGTCGCGGCGGATGAGGCGCCAGTCCTTCTTCCGAGGATGGAAGCGGATGTAGGGCTGGGGCCGCAGCTGGTCGTCGACAAAGCCGCTCTCGTAGGCGCCGTGTATGTCGAAGCACTCGGGAATGTTGGCGGCGGGGGCCATGCCACGGAGGCCCCGCGCACGGTGGCCGTTGAGCAGGCGCATGAGGACCGTCTCGTACTGGTCGTCTTGGTGGTGGGCGGTGAAGAGGCTGGCAATGTCGAAGGCGGCACAGGCCATGCCGAGGCGGCGGTAGCGCAGGCGGCGTGCGAGCGTCTCGACGTTGGGCAGGGCGTTGGGGTCGAAATGGCGAGCGGCGGTGTTGGTCAGGCCCAGCTCGCGGGCCCAGTGGATGGTGAGAAGCTCAGCCTTCATGAACTTGCTGAGGGACTGGATGAGGTCGATGGTCCGGTTGGCTTCCTTGGTGCTCGTGGGACGCAGGCGGTGGTCGACAACAAAGGCGGTGGGTTTGGCGACGATGCTGTTGTCGGCAACCTTCATGCCCTGGTCGAGAGTGCGCAGGCGGCTGAAGAGGAAGGCGAGGGCCATCGAGTCGGCACCGCCGCTCACGGCGAGGGCCACGCGACGAGGCACCGTGTACAGGGCGTGGGGGAATCGCGGCGGACATGTTGCGCGGACGGCCTCGCTGAACTCGACGAAGGAAATGGGCTTGGGGACATGGTGGAAGACGGGGACGCTCATACGGCGTGTGTGTGCACCAATGGATGGCTGGATGGCTGGATGGCTGCAAGGGAAGTGGCAAGGTGCTGGATAGGCCCTCGTGATGAAGCTTGGCGATGGGAGGTGGAGAGCAGGGGAAGCTCGAGAGGGGTGGTGGAAGCTCGAGAGGGGTGGTGGAAGCTCGAGAGGCGTGGTGAGAAGTTGTGGAAGGAGTGGTGAGAAGTTGTGGAAGGAGTGGTGAGAAGTTGTGGAAGGAGTAGTGAGAAGTTATGGAAGGAGTAGTAAGAAGTTGTGGAAGGAGTGTGAGAAGTTGTGGAAGGAGTGGTGAGAAGTTGTGGAAGGACGACAGCAGTTGGCGGCAGGCGAACGGACCAAGTCGTTCTTGCCGACAGAGCTGCGGCGAGCTCTATCAGCCGTCTCTCGGTCAGACCATCACACCGAACCCAGCGCGGCTCAGACGGCGCACCCTGCGCCGACTACATGTACTGTACACCTTCTGACTTTCTTTCCCC